TCTGTGAGTGTGTAGGGCAAGGAGGGGCGTGGCCGGGGGTGCCCTCCCGGGCTGGGTGTCTGACCCCGACCCGCACCTGCTCCAGATCTGGGCTGAGGGTCACCAGCCTGCCAGAATCTGGCTATTGGCAGCAATGTCCTGAGAGCGGTGTTAGCCCAGGCGGCACCCGAAGGCCAGGCAGCAGATGCTGAAGTGGGTTCAGGTGAAGTCGGCAGAGGCCGCGGGGGTGGAAAGGGTGCTGGACCGGAAGTGCAGACACCTGGGCTGTCCCACCTCCACCTCGAGCTCACTGCGGGACTCCCGCAGGTCGTTGACTTCTCTGGATCGCACCTTTCTTGCCTCTAAAATCAGGGACTGGGGATCATCCAACTGTATTATCTCTTTCAGGTAAAAAACTTCTACATTTTTCTCGGACCCTTGGGTTTGCACAGGCAACTCAAGATGAACCGTCCTGACTTCTCAGCACTAACTGAGACAGGATCATTAGGCACCACGGCGCTATCCTAATCCTAATCCGTTTAATCCTACTGCAATCTCATCAACAACAATGATCATTTATTCAGCACGTGTGCCAGGTGCTTTCCAGCCATTAGTGCTTTTAGAGGTAAATAGCCATGTCCACCTGGTGGGTGTCACCTGCCAGGTTATGCCCTGTAGGTACCAGGGGTTTGCTTTCACCTACAGAGCTGTCAGGGAGGTACTGCTGGGTGAAGTCCCGGATTTCGGTGTTGGGGACCCGGATGGATGAAAACAGGCTTCGACGTACTCTAAGGGCTGGGCTCAGGAACTGCATGTTGCTAGGAAGCGTTCAGGTTTCGCAGTGATACACACCTGAGTTTCAATTCCAGCTCTGTCACTTATTAGCCACATACCTTTGCGGAGCTAAAGTTTCCTCACCTGAGAAGCAGGGAAAACAGTTTTGAGCCCAGTGAACAGTTGTCATGCTAGATTAGGTGAGGTAATCCGTGTGCCTTTATCTGCACGGGGCCCGGCGCACAGTAAGTGGTGCACAGGTAAGGATATTCTTCCCTGCCTCCAGCCTCTCTTTCTGCCCATCAGAAAAGAACCCTTGATCAGCCCTGGCCGGTTTGGCTCAGTGGTTAGAGTGTCGACCTGCGGCCCAGAGAGACCTGGGTTTGGTTCCCGCTAAGGGCACGTACCAAAAAAAAAAGATCGTCCACTGTGTGCCAGGCGTGGTCCGGGGCTCTGAACACACTAGTGAGCCAGGCGAGCCCTCCCTGCTCTCATGGAGCCGATGCTCTCAGCTCCAGCCTCTCCTGCAGAGACGAAATGGGGAGACATGGGGCCCTTCTGGGGGCCCTTCTCTTTCCTGTAAGTTTCTTTCCTCGATACCATGATCTCAGTGTCAGCCTTGCCCGGACGCCCTGGCAAACTTGTGGCTCTTTCCAGCCCTGTTTCTAACTCTCAGGAATCGTGTTCCCCAGACAGACCCTTCCTGCTGCACATCCTGTTGGATATGCCCAGGATTTTGCTATGCTGGCCCCTCCCCAAGGGGGCCTTTCCCTTCCAGCTCTGCATGTCCTCTCCAAGTTCCTGGCTCAGCCCAAACGCCATCCTCTCCCCACACCTCGCAGCCTTCTCCGTGCTCCCTCACCCCCAGCTGGAAGTCACTCGCTTCATGCGGACCGCGGAAGCACTCTGCGGTCTGTCGCGTAGCTTTCCCCGTCTGGGTGATCTCAGTTCCTGGGGTGTGCGCCCGCTCCAGCCTCGGCCGTCCTTGGAGTCCACGGTGTCGAGCACGTTTCTGTGTGCCCGGAGCAGACGTTTTCCACGTGGGCAGAATGAATGCAGGCCCTCCACACGCAGGTCCGCTGTCAGTCGTGGGGTACGCCGCCTGCCGAGTCTTCCTCTGACGCTTGAGGAGACCTGGGTTTTCATCGGGTTTGAGCTACCACGTCAAGTCTGCTTTCTTCTTTCTTCTCCTGGTTTCCATCTAACTTCATGCTCTTCCTTTGTTGAGGGGTTTTCTGTTGCTCAATAGTTACCTCTTCCTCTCGCCTCGTTTTTGACATGTTTGCGTGCGAACGAGAGAAATTCCACAGAGCTGAGGCAACTAAGTCGCGGGCCACTCCTGCGCGATTTCTCCGCAACAGTAAGAAAGAGGAAGCCCTCTGGTGTCTCCTGCAGAAAGCATCTCCGTAGGAATGAGAGACCATGAGGACGGGCGGCGGCTTTGTTCCCTGGGGAGTTATTTATGTATCTTCCCCTGCCCACTCCTTAAAGCATTTGTTCACTCCCTGTAGTGGAAACCGTTCGGAGGACACCCCACTAGGGGCGGCAGCCACAGTTCACCTCATTAAAAGGACACTGGGGCTCAGAGCCGGGCAGTGTTTCAGGGGACCTGGCTGCTGCTACAGTGAGAAGGGTTTTTGCTCTGGGCTCATACTCTGTCCATCCAGAGGGGCTGGGGAGGGACAAAGGGGAAGCTTCCCCCGCAGGAGGTGCAGACGCAGGGGCCAGGTGGCGATGGACAGCGGCTGTTTGAACGATTCTGCTGTGGATAAACGGTAACCAGGGTACAGCCCCACGTGCCTGGCTGACCTGCGATGGTTTGGTAGTTAAGACAGAACCTGCCGGGGACGGGTACAGCGGGGCGAATCTACCCCACCACCTCAGCTGTGCATGCACGTCTCTTCCCCAGCCGCCGAGTGGGGGAGCAGAGCAGCGCACTCGGGGGCCTGCGCCGCAGGGCCCTGGGAGCAACAGTCCGTGCCATCCCACAGTCGCACTGAGGGTCGTACGGAGCTCTTGGCCAAAGTGTGGCTTCCTAAGGGGCAGAGCAGCATTTAGGGTGGAAATGGCGAGGCCCTGTTTCCTCCTCCAGGACAAAATCGGGGTGTGCAGGAGGTGGTTCTTGGAACCTGGAGACAGAGCGGCGGGGTGGAGAGGCCTGACTAGGGCGCTGCGTGTGGCCTGTGCACAAGGGTCACAGCTGGTGCATGCAGCCCCCCTGCGTCTCCTGTCCTCTCCTCCTCCATCCGGCCTTCTGCTGACGCTCCTCCCTGGCCGCACCTACCCAGGCCCAAGGGCAAGGAGCCCGCAGGTGCACCTGTGTCTAGGTCAGCCTCCTGGGTGCAGAGTAGGGTGTAGAGAGGATCTGGAGGGGCATGTGGAAGATCCCACACTGAGAGTTTGTTAAGTTGAAGTTTAAGATTCAGATCAGTCTCTGGAATGTGCTGGACAGCTACTGGCACAATGAGGTATTTGGTGCAGGTTCGGCGCTCACCACTGAGCCACCCCAGCTGGGTCACAGGCAGGTACCTGGTGCAGGGTCACCGCTCACCACTGAGCACCCACTGGGCCACAAGCAGGTACCTGGTGCAGGGTCACCGCTCAACCACTGAGCCACCCCAGCTGGGCCACAGGCAGGTACCTGGTGCAGGGTCACCGCTCAACCACTGAGCCACCCCAGCTGGGCCACAGGCAGGTACCTGGTGCAGGGTCACCGCTCAACCAGAGCCACCCCAGCTGGGCCACAGGCAGGTACCTGGTGCAGGGTCACCGCTCAACCACTGAGCACCCCAGCTGGGCCACAGGCAGGTACCTGGTGCAGGGTCACCGCTCAACCACTGCGCCACCCCAGCTGGGCCACAGGCAGGTACCTGGTGCAGGGTCACCGCTCAACCACTGAGCCACCCCAGCTGGGCCACAGGCAGGTACCTGGTGCAGGGTCACCGCTCAACCAGAGCCACCCCAGCTGGGCCACAGGCAGGTACCTGGTGCAGGGTCACCGCTCAACCACTGAGCACCCCAGCTGGGCCACAGGCAGGTACCTGGTGCAGGGTCACCGCTCAACCACTGAGCCACCCCAGCCAGGCCACAAGCAGGTACCTGGTGCAGGGTCACCGCTCAACCACTGAGCCACCCCAGCCGGGCCACAGGCAGGTACCTGGTGCAGGGTCACCGCTCAACCACTGAGCACCCCAGCTGGGCCACAGGCAGGTACCTGGTGCAGGGTCACCGCTCAACCAGAGCCACCCCAGCTGGGCCACAGGCAGGTACCTGGTGCAGGGTCACCGCTCAACCACTGAGCACCCCAGCCGGGCCACAGGCAGGTACCTGGTGCAGGGTCACCGCTCAACCACTGAGCCACCCCAGCCGGGCCACAAGCAGGTACCTGGTGCAGGGTCACCGCTCAACCACTGAGCACCCCAGCCGGGCCACAGGCAGGTACCTGGTGCAGGGTCACCGCTCAACCACTGAGCGCCCCAGCCGGGCCACAGGCAGGTACCTGGTGCAGGGTCACTGCTCAACCACTGAGCCACCCCAGCCGGGCCACAGGCTGGTACCTGGTGCAGGGTCACCACTCAACCACTGAGCCACCCCAGCCGGGCCACAGGCAGGTACCTGGTGCAGGGTCACCGCTCAACCACTGAGCCACCCCAGCTGGGCCACAGGCAGGTACCTGGTGCAGGGTCACCGCTCAACCACTGAGCCACCCCAGCCAGGCCACAGGCAGGTACCTGGAGCAGGGTCACCGCTCACCACTGAGCCACCCCAGCCGGGCCACAGGCAGGTACCTGGTGCAGGGTCACCGCTCACCACTGAGCCACCCCAGCCGGGCCACAGGCAGGTACCTGGTGCAGGGTCACCGCTCAACCACTGAGCCACCCCAGCCGGGCCACAGGCAGGTACCTGGTGCAGGGTCACCGCTCAACCACTGAGCACCCCAGCCGGGCCACAGGCAGGCGCTTGGCAGTCAGTGGCTGTGCTTCATAATCAGCGTCACTATTATTCGTACTATCATCACTACCATTTTTACAATTATTGTTACTGAAATGCCCTTCTGTGGCTATTGCCACCAGCTCTGGCTGTCCCACAAAGCATGGCAACCATGTCCCTTGGCCTGTAGCTTCCCTCAGTACAGTTCTCTGTTTCGGCATGAGCAGAATACTTAGAGGATCCCCCAGGGAAGCTGTGGGGTGAAGCTAAGCTGCTGTGATGGTCACCCAGCAACACCTCTTTCCTTTCCTCCACAGGGACCCTCCGCCGCTGAGTCCTGGCCCTCCTAGGAGGACGCTTTGCCAGTGCTGCTGTGCCCCGGGGACCCGCGTCTGAGATGAAAGCCATGCCCTGGAACTGGACTTGCCTGCTGTCCCATCTCCTGATGGTAGGGATGGGCTCCTCCACGCTGCTCCCCCGGCAGCCACCCCCACCGTCCCAGAAGCGGCCTTTTGTCACCTTTCGCGGGGAGCCAGCCGAGGGCTTCAACCACCTGGTGGTGGACAAGAGGACAGGGCACATTTACCTGGGTGCTGTCAACCGCATCTACAAGCTCTCTAGTGACCTGAAGGTCTTGGTGACCCACCAGACAGGGCCGGATGAGGACAACCCCAACTGTTACCCACCCCGCATCGTCCAGACGTGCAATGAGCCCCTGGCCACCACCAACAACGTCAACAAGATGCTCCTGATCGACTACAAGGAGAACAGGCTGATTGCCTGCGGGAGCCTGTACCAAGGCATCTGCAAGCTCCTGAGGCTGGAGGACCTCTTCAAGCTGGGGGAGCCTTTCCACAAGAAGGAGCACTACTTGTCGGGGGTCAATGAGAGCGGCTCTGTCTTCGGGGTGATTGTCTCCTACAGCAACCTGGATGACAAGCTGTTCATCGCCACAGCGGTGGACGGGAAGCCAGAGTACTTCCCCACCATCTCCAGCCGGAAGCTGACTAAGAACTCGGAAGCCGATGGCATGTTCGCTTATGTCTTCCACGACGAGTTTGTGGCCTCGATGATTAAGATCCCTTCGGACACCTTCACCGTCATCCCCGACTTCGATATCTACTATGTCTATGGCTTCAGCAGTGGCAATTTTGTCTACTTTTTGACGCTTCAGCCTGAGATGGTGTCTCCCCCGGGCTCCACCACAAAGGAGCAGGTTTATACATCCAAGCTCGTGAGGCTCTGCCAGGAGGACTCCGCCTTCAACTCCTACGTGGAGGTGCCCATTGGCTGCGAGCGCAGTGGGGTGGAGTACCGCTTGCTGCAGGCTGCCTACCTGTCCAAAGCGGGGGCCGTGCTCGCCCAGACCCTTGGAGTCCGTCCAGAGGACGACCTCCTCTTCACCGTCTTCTCCAAGGGCCAGAAGCGGAAAATGAAATCCCTGGATGAGTCGGCCCTGTGCATCTTCATCTTGAAGCAGATCAATGATCGCATTAAGGAGCGGCTTCAGTCCTGCTACCGGGGCGAGGGCACGCTGGACCTGGCCTGGCTCAAGGTGAAGGACATCCCCTGCAGCAGCGCGGTGAGTCAAGGGAGGGCCTCGGGCTGGGACGACGCGGTGTGGAGGGGGGACCCTAGCCTGTGGCCTCCGGGGGCTGTGAATCACCCATGTCATCTTGCAGACGGGACAAGCATATTCCGTCTCTGGGTCTCACTGGACTCAGATCACCACCAGCTCAAACGTGCTGTGACTCTGCGACTGAGCTTATAAGAGTCAGAGCTGGAGCTAAAACGTCGATTTTCTATCAGGGCACTTTTCTCTGTTCCGTACTGGCTTACCGGTTATAGGAGGGCACGCTAGATAGGCAGGGATCGTGTTACTTGGTCACATGCTCCAGGCGTGGTTGAAGGCCAGTCAGCATGTGCTGGAGAACAAGACATGTACCCGGGTGCCTTCTTACCAACCGTGCCTGTGAATCACTTTCCTGGGAGCTTAGCCTAAGAGCATTGCTGGGAGTGATGGAGTCGGTCATTCATTCTGCATCTGGGATGGGTAGGGAATTTCAGGGGAGCTGTTTTCCGCCCCTCGTATATCTTTAGGACATGAAACGGTGAATGCTGAAGAAGTAGGGCAAGAGTCCAGCCAACGCAAAGGGGAGAGTGGGATTGCTCAGAAAGCTGCATTTATTCAGCACCTTCCGTGGGCGCAGCTCCGCAGAAGAGACTCGCCACGGAGTCAGGAGGCAGCCACGGAGGAGCTCAGAGGGGCAGACGTGCCGAAGGGAGCTGGAAGAAGGGCAGAAGGCGGGGTTGGTTCGGAAGCCATCCCAGGGCACCTGGTGGCACAGCCTCATGCCCTGGAACCCAGCACGGACAGCGTCTGCCTTTCTGTGGCTTGACTTCTGTTCCCCTTAAATCATCCAAACTTCTCTAAATCATTCTTCAACGGACGTGGGAGGCTCCACGCTTGGCGTCCCCCACGCCCTGTGTCACTCTCCTCCCCCCTTTTCTTTTCATTGTCCAGTTAAAAAGCTATGAGCCTAGTTGGAGAAAAATCTGTCCTGTAATCTCAACGAGGAAAGGAAACCACCCGTCAGGTCGAAGTGCGCATGTGCATGGATGTGGTTCCCGACGTCTGGTCCAGTGGTGGTGGGATTCCGGGTTAGGAAATGTATTTGGGTTGAGTTAAAAAGTGTAAACGCCCCTTCATAAAGTATGAACACTTGCCAAGCTGATTTCAGAGGGCACTGGTCGCCCAGAATATTTCTCCAGCCACTGCGATTTGGGGTAGGGGTAGAGGAGAGGGAGGAGAAAGGGGGTCTCCGCAACATTTGGTCTTTGATGCCCTGACATTTAGGCTCAAACTGCTTTCTAGTGGCAAGTTTTCTAGGTACCTGGACCATCCCTCCTCGGAGGCCCTGAAAAGCCAGGGGACCCCTAGACTCATAGGAAATGGGAGAGGGATTGTGGGCCATGGGAGGCAGCAACAACTGAGTCATTGCCAGGCCAGAGAATCAAGGGGACTCGACTGTGTCTGCTGAGCTCTGGCTGGAGACATATCCTTTGGAACCTTTGGTTTGGGACAGTAGCTGACCCACTCAGGAGAGTCTTACACAGGTTTATGAACTTGGGGGGCCACTGACTGCTCCTAAATGAAGGCAACGAATTGTCGACAGTCCAGATGCTGTGCTGTGTATAGGTGAGTTACACACTCAAACCGAGTCCCCAGGAGATGCATTAGAAAGTTGGCCTGGGGACAGACTTAGAGACCCTCTAGTCTAAACTTTCATTCCAAGGCCCAGCCAAGTGCATGAATTGTCCAAGCTCATACATCTCGTGGGTGAATGGCAGACACAGCCTTGAGGATAATCCCTCTTCCTCTCTTATCACCACATTTGCACACACCCATCTGGATGCATATGTACACACACACGTGCACATACGTAACAAATACCCTCATGAGCATGCATACATACACCCTCCGTTAGAAAATGGCAAGTCTATGCTCTGTACTTACTAAACAACTAGTTCTTTTGAGGTCAGCGGGGTAGGCTATTTTTCCTGTAGATCCTCTTCTGTAGAGAACTTGCTCAAACCCTGTGTTTTGGGGAGTAAAATCAGCCCCAGGGATCAGCCTGGCTGCCCATGGGCAGGAGTTTGCCCCGACCTTTCTCCCTGCCACAATACAGCAAGTCACGTCCATCATGGCCGTCCGCAGAGCTGCAGGTCCCAACACTGCGTGATGGCCTTGGACAGAGCAGAGGGAAACAGCTTTGCAAGACCGCCTAATGCCAGGGCGGGAGTCATGGAGCCAGATAACAGGCTTTTGATTTTTCTCTGGGCTTTAATTAGCCCTTTCAAGTCAGAGGCGAGTTCAGGGCTGGGAGCAGAGGGGAGGAAACTGCACACAGGGCTGGGCTGTCCCCAGCCAGTCTGCGAGGCCACACCAGCTCTTACCGCGCGGCGCCCGTGTCCTTTGATGCGGCCGATCCTCAGGCTCCTTCGCTCTGGAGCTCTCGGCCGCGGTCCATCTGCCGAGCTCGGCTCAGACCACGCGTTTCACACGCCATGAGCCAGGCCAGGCTCGGAGCGTCCCCTCGAGGAGTGCTCGTCGGCACACTGTTGGCAAACGGAGCGTTTCCGCCACCATTTCCCAGGGCTGTCAGGTTCCTTCGCTTCCCCTTCCTGCCTCGAGGCAGGGACGGACGAGAGGAACTCTCGAGCTGTTTGTCTCTGAGTCCGAGATTCCCGGGAGGCCTGCGCAGTCGAGCCCAGTCTCCAGTGGCCTCTGTCCCTGGCGTGGCAACAGTAGGAAAACGGCCCCCGAAGTTGACTTAGGACTTGAGGCTGCAGGCGAGGGGTCTCCTGTGGGTTTTATCATAGTCGCAACTCAAAGAGCGTGCAGAGGGGTCTGAGCAGTGGTTCATTTCTACCACGCTCCCGCTGTTCAAGCTCCCCGAGCTAGAAGGGGCACCCTGTGGCACCCTTCGGCTTTCTGGCCCCTCCCATTTCCCGGGACCCACCTTCCTTCCCCAAATTTCAGAGCAGGGAGCAATGTAAATCCTGGGGCACCTGAATCCCGCACTGGGCCCCCTCTGCCCCTTTGGCTATATTCAGGGAGGATGGGTTGGGGTGAAGAGAGAATATCTGTGTGACTTGGCCTGCCACGCCGTGGGGCATCCCTGGAGCTGCGTGGTGGGCCACAGTCTGGTGAGCAGGCGGGGGAGAAGCCATAGACTGTGAGGCCGGAACCTTGGTGTGCGGGCCCCAGAGACGTCCCTGCTTTGCTGCAGGTGAATGGGGGAAGGCTGGCTGAGCCCACATCCGAGAGAAGGGCCAGGGGCCAGGGGTGGCCTCCTCATGGGACTGTCACTGTGAATGTCATGTTGCCAAAGCGCACCCCTGAGTGGACGTTGGGTGTAGAGGCTGGAGAAACAGCCCCGTTTCCTGGTGCTTGTGGGGATGGAGCGGCTTCTGCTTTGCCCCTGGGCCATGCTTTTCCTGAGTTCTGGAGTTTTAGCCTGAATGGAAAGAGGTATTTAAGAACAAACAGGGTAGCATCTGACAACTGCTCCAAGGGTCTCAGGAGGGCATGGGCAGAAGGAGGGTCCTAGCAGCATCAGCCAGGGGGTCCGGTTTGTCTTAGGATTCGAGACTAAACACGGACCTGAGGCCTTTTGCTGATGATCACCCAGGTGAGTGGATGATGATGCAATTTATTTGTTTCTGCTGCTCCGTACTGGGATGGGCTCTACCTCGGGTCCCTTTAAGGCTGCCACGTGGGCTCCTGAAACCTTCTGTCTACAGAGCATGTGACAATTGGGGTGAGGAGCCCACACACAGCCCGTAGCTTCTGTCCTGTGCCAGGGCTCTGTGCAGGAGCCTCGACACCCCGACCCAGAGTTGGCAGCCAGGCTGGAGAGCGTGCTGTTGTTTTCTACATGGGCCAAGTGGCCTGGCATCCCAGGGTCCCCCAGGCATGGCTGTCTGTTCCTCCTCAACCTTCCTTCAGCCTTCTGGGTGACCTCACAGAAAACTAGCCCTTCTGTCTCTGCGTGTACCAATGACTGGACGAATGGAGAAAACATTTATTAGGACTCTGGCAATGTGCTCATACCTGGTGGATGCCAAGAATCATGAAATAACATCGGTCTCCAGAAGCCTAAGGGTCCAGGGGTGAGATGCACCCAGGCATCACGGTCTGTGTGATGGGAGCAATGACAGTGGTCTCGGAAGTGACCATCACTCACTCCACTCAAGTCCTCCCTGAGGTTGGAACTGACTGACCAGTGGACAGAGGAGTCAGGCGCCATCTGCTTTGCTGCAGATAAGCTGGATGATGCCGCAATCAGCTTCTTAATCTTCCCCTCAAGCCTTGAACTTAGAGTGACCTTCCAACAGAAAATGTAGGTCCTTGGGGACCGAAACTCTCGTCCAGAATCTCCCCCGCCCCTGTCAAGCCCATCAGTGGGCGCAGAGCGCAGCAGCTCCTGAGCAGCCTGGTAGCCCCGCTGCAGGAGTGTTTATGCTGCTCGACTGTTCACAGAGGGGTTCATCACCCCCTTTCTTCTCTCAACAGCACTGCGGGATAATAGAAAGGGCAGCCCCCCTCTTCAGTTGAGGAAGTGGAGGAACAGAGGAGTCAAGTACTTCCCTCGAGGTCATGTAATCGGTAGATTAGAACCTACCATCCATCCTGATTCTCAGCCGCTGCGCTTCCCGCTGGTGAGCTAGCGGCGGCCGAGGGTGGGACAGTTCACGGTCCGGGTCCCGCAGGACAGTCACAGTCCTGGGCACTAGGGCACTGAGTGCCCGTGGGACTCCCCAGACACTGCAAGAACCAGCAGAGCCCTTCGCTTTCTGACACTGAGAGCCACTGGGAGACCAAGCGCCTCTCTGGCCTTGGCGTTTGCCTGCCACCCAGCCCGTCCCGCCAGGGGCACAGGGGCACAACGGCTCAGCTCTTCATGTTTCCCACACGCTCCAGGCCACGCCCGACGAGGAGTGGTGAGGGAGCACCCCATTCACGGTGCTGTTCCTTTGACTCTTGTATTCATTGTTTCTCAGGCACAGCAGCCCTGG